GATTTTTCAGGAATTTTCTAAGGAAAAAGGGTCTTTTCATTATAACTTCCGGTCTGATGACGTCATAGGCCTAAAACTTCGCACACGTCTTGAGTGGGTCAAGGTCATCATATACACCAATATTTAGGCGATTCCGACAAACTTCGCTACAGACATCTATTCAAAATACATTTTTGAAAATTTTCAACCTATTGCTAGAGGGCGCTCGAAGGTTGCATGACGTCATCGGTAGATGATCAGAAGAATACTATCGGCCAAGAGACTAACACCGTTAAAAGCAAGTTCACATCTATTACCACTTTTAAATAATAAGCCACTTCCGTTTTTAGCCTTTTTCAACCGGAAGCAAGGGTCACGTGTCTTGTCATTGTGGTCTTGGTTTGAACCAAGTTTAATGTCAATCCGATGAAAAAAGTGTGCAATTTTTGGAAGCAGAATAAAATTATAAATATTTAAAAAAAAAAATTTAAAAACGATGACGTCATTGTGACGTCACTTCCAACTTTGCATACTGGTACGATTAACTACCTACCACCAAGTTTCATGACAATCGAACCTTTCCTTATATATTTTTTGAAAAATCGCATTTTGATGACGTCATGATGACGTTACACATTTTTCAAAATGTTGTACTAATACCTATTACCTAACAGACCTAATACAAAAAGAATTTTGAAATTTGCATGTTGCGTTCGTGAGATATGGCTAAAAGGTCAAAAAATTCAAATATTCATATAAAGTCTCAGGATGATGTCATCATAACGTCACCTCATTTTTTTTACCTACAACACATCCCAGTCTAGCCACATACCAAGTTTCAACCCAATCGGGGTTACAGTTCTGTAGATATAGGTTTTCCAAATATGCACGTAAATTTTCAAAAATCAATAAAAAATTAGGTGATGACGTCATCATGACCGTCAATGACGTCATAGTCTTTGCATAATTTTTGTATGAGGGTCTTCCTTGGCTGTAACTTTGATGACGATTCCAGATCGCCAAGTTGTAAAAATGGTGGCTTGAAAACGTGTACAAAGTCAATGGGCTAAAAATCCCACTGCAGAAAAACTGCACCTTTAAATATGTGATTTGCCTTTAAACTGAAACATTTTTATAAAATATTACTTGATATTCTGACTCTTGGGAATATTTTCAATCAAATGAAAGAGAATACAAATACAATTTTGTTTTCCTTAATGCTGAGTATGATCATCTCTTGCTCTATGACATGGTTATAGACCCGTGAACGTGGCGTATACACCGCCACGCGTTCATCTCATTGAACAGCTTTCGATCGGCAAACATCGGCGGGAATAGAATTTCCGTTTGAGTCCCGCAATTTAACGAGAACATTTATGACCAGAACTTACACAAAACCTTATCCGCAAACTTTGAGCTGTGTAGGATCGGTCATTCCAAAGAAATTTCGGGAACCAAACGAAAATTCTATTCCCGGCGATGCTGGCCGATCGAAAGCTGTTCAATGAGGGATGTACGCGTGGCGGTGTATACGTTATACCGCCACGTTCACGGGTCTATGGCATGGTGTAATTAATTCACAGTGGTTTTAAGGACAACTTGTAGAGCGCCCACTTATTTGTGTTAGTATGGTGCCTCAGAATTTCATACGGACTAAACATGTCTACGAACGCGCTCTATGATCTTTGCTACGAACAAACCTAGTGCATGTACTGTATAAAGTATAGTACCCAGAACCATATATCAGCTTTCGAGGTACGACCTGCGATATACGAGCAGTTTTGTTAGCGGAAAATTTAGTGATGTTAGCAGATTGTTTTGTTTAGCTTGTATTTGTAAATGTCTGTTGGATAATGAATACTGTTCTGTTATGTAAACGTTTCAGATGAAGTGTTAGGCCTAATTGTATAATTGGTGATTTTTTGACGACTGATGACGATATGGTCACGTCACCATGGTCACGTGGATAATGTATGCAGAGCTGCATGGTGTATCACGTGGATATGTAGACAAGCCACGTATCGGCCGGGTCTAGGTGTATCCATGGTGTATCGTGGCCCAGGACGGGTGTACCCCATATTAATGTGGCTCAAATACTCCACTTTTTACGTGTTGTTAACTATACTGGGATGATATTTGGGGCATGTGTTTCACGAATAGTTGACGACATGAATATGATTGATGGGATCTTTGTGTTAACATCTTTTTATTGGAAGATATACACAAACTCACAGACTCACAGAGTGGTGTTTTGTAGGTCAAAAAATAGTGAATGAAAAGAAATCGGAGTACTAGTGTAGGCATGGAGCTATAAAAGTGAAATTGTTCGGAGTATATGACCTGAGGCTGTCATGGCTGTTGTTAGTGCAATCTTTTGGATGAACTGACTGACTTACATTTCCTGCATAATGATCTATGTTTCCTACCTCCATGTTGCAGGCATGTTTGCTATGAACTGACATGATCTATTTTGAATTAGATGATGTAGTCAGTGAAAATGTATTAATTGAAATTTCATGGAAGTGATTTTGTTGAACATCTTTTCTCCAGATGGTTTGATCGTATTGTGTTATCTTTGAGGAATGTGGTTACTTGGTAGGCCCTTGCCTTTTGTGGCATTTCAGTTGACTCAATATGGTTACAGCGGCATACAACTGTATTGAAATGCCCCAAAGAGTATAAGGTGACTACAAAGTAGGCAGTATTGTTAAAGCAGTCTATGTTAACACAAGTGGAGACAAATAAAAAGGACTGGAGCGAGTTCAAAAATAGAGTTTCGACAATTTATTTCCCATGTACTAAGCTACATCTGCATCTTGTGCAAGACAAAAGGCAATTTTGTGAAGAATTGTATTGCAGTTGTTACACACTAGTTGTTACCCTAACTGTATGCATACTTCATTTACAAATGTATTTTTTCTTCTTATTTTGTTTTCAGAAATGAGGAGTGTCGTGACACCATCCAAGACATCAAGTTCCTTCTGGTCTGTTTGTGTGCAGCTCGTCCAGTGTGTCTGTCCCATTAACCCTGCCCTGTCCTCTCATTTCATTCCTTAGTGTGTTTAATTCATTCCACATTCACTCCAACATTTCATCTCCTAAATATCATATGAATAAAAGTTGTTACATGTGAGCTGAAGTTGTTATATGTGAGCTGAAGTTGTTATATGGGAGCTGAAGTTGTTTTTTTTGTGAGCTAAACGTGTTCTGTGTTAAAGCTATTTTGTTCTAAAGTTACAAAGCTGAAGTTGATTGCCAATTCAAAGGCAAAGATTACATGCTGAAGTTGATTGCCAATTCTAAGGCAAAGATTACTTGCTGAAGTTGATTGCCCGATCAAAGGCAAAGATTACTTGCTGAAGTTGATCGCGAATTCAAAGGCAAAGATTACTTGCTAAAGTTGATTGCCAATTCAAAGACAAAGATTACTTGCTGAAGTTGATTGCCAATTCAAAGGCAAAGATTACTTGCTGAAGTTGATTGCCAATTCAAAGGCAAAGATAACTTGCTGAAGTTGATTGCCAATTCAAAGGCAAAGATTACTTGCTATTGTTGATTGCCAATTCTAAGGCAAAGATTACTTGCTATTTGTCGGTTAATGTTTTCAAGGTAAACTCAAGATTTATATAGCCTGACGTTGCGAACTTAGCAAGTTCTTCTTCAGAGGCTAAAACAGAAATGACAGAGGTACATACATTAACATGGGGGTGCACACAAACATGCAGGGTTGAAAGAAGAAACACAAAAGGAGGATTAGGTGTGAAAGGTGTGGAAAGATGCAGGGGAGGGTGGATGAGAGAACAAAGAAACAAAGGGAGATGGCAAACCACAAGGGGTCTTGTGTAAACAGGGGAGGGACCAGAAAGGGGAAGGATCAAAGGTCACAGGGAGTGGGAACGGACAAAAGAGTGTGAGAGTGAAGGGATGATGTGGGGGGGGACAGTATTGAGGTGGAAAGGGATGAAAGATGGGGAAAGATGGGTAAACACAAACAAGGAAGACCAGATGGATTATCTGTAACAGAAGACAATGGAGGAAGAAAAGGATTAATCATTTCCAAGTTGGATGTTGAGACCATGTGATTGAATAGTTCGAAGACGATTCATCCACACTTTCTCTCTGCTGAGGCGAACTGAGTCCTTGCGATGGCCAAGAGATTCAATGCCCTGCAAAATCATATCAGAAATGGAGTGGTTAGGCAGGTTGAAGTGATGACCAACAGGGGTGTCTAGTTTCTTGGTGTTGACCGTTGACCGGTGGGCATAGAAACGCTTCTTGAGCGTATTCTTAGTCTCACCTACATACTGCACTCCACAGACCCTGCAAGAAATGAGATATATGACATTAGAGGCTCGAGATTACTAAGCTGAGGAAAGAGCAGCTCAAGCGAAAGCAGCAACTGGAGCAACAGAAAATGATGTTGGAGATGAAATTACAACTTCAAAATGCGGAGGATGAAGAGGAGCAGGCAGAATTGGAAACACATATTTGGGGAGAGGAAATGCACGAGGAAGATGCCACAGAAGACAGACCAGATGTTACGCAAGCAATTGACACTAGTGTAGAAGTCACAATCAGTACTCTGGTTGTCAACAACCATGCTCGAGCACAGGCCGACATGATAGATGAAAGTGGCAATATAACATTTCCTTCAAACACAACAGAGGAGAGTGTCACACCACCTGAAGTAGCCTCACAGTCCACTCCAGCATCAAAAGATCAAGTAAGCATTACACAATTGTGCCAAGCCTTGACACTCACCATGAACATACCGAAGCCTGACATTAAGTCCTTTAGCGGAGACCCAGCGGAATATTGGGCATTCGTGACCAGTTTCGAGACAAACATCGGTTCCAAAGTGACTGATGCCCGAACAAGGCTGACTTACCTGGTGCAGTTCTGTCGAGGTATAAAAAAAGGCAAAGGAAAGCATCGAAAACTGTATCCTGATGGAACCCACAGAAGGCTACAAAACAGCACTTAAAATCTTGCGCGAGCAGTTCGGACAGCCACACTTAATAATGCATGCTCTGCTGCGCAAGGTTACCAACCGAGGACAGATACGACAGAACGATGGCAACGCCCTTTGGGATTTAGCGAGGGACATGAAGAAGTGCCAAATAACCTTGTCCCAGCTTGGATACAATGCGGACATGAACAGCTCAGAGAACCTACTTAAGGTTCAGCGTCTCTTGCCCGTTCATCTACAAGCAGACTGGGCCAAGAAGGCACAGGTGACCATCGAGTCCAAACGAGAACCAAGCTTCGCACAGATGACGGAGTTTATTGAGACGAAGGCGAAAACTGCCAGCAATATGTACGGACAGAATATCACCAAGACTTTCAGTCCGACCAGCGCAAGTCATTCCTCACGCACCAAACCGAAGGCTTACCCGGCCAAGGTGACTGCGCTGTCAACTAGTGTGGGTGGTGACTATCTTCATGAAGCAAAGAAGGACAAGCAAGTCAAATGTCTCTGCTGTTCCCAGCAACACAAATTGGCAGAATGCAAGACCTTCACACAGAAGTCATATGACGAGCGTCGTCAGTTTATGAGAGATAATAAACTGTGCGACAACTGCTTCATTCCATGGCATGTAGCCAGACGTTGCAGACTCAGCAGTCGTTGTGGGATTGATGGATGCACGTGGAAGCATCATACTCTCCTTCATCCATCCCGTGCGCCTGTTGCCAATCGTGAGGAGCAGAAGGGCTGCGAAAATCCAGCAAGTGTTAAACCTGAACCTGCTGGTACATGTACCTCAACTGGGGCTGGGAGACGGGTGATGGAAGGAGAAAAGGATCAGCCTGGAGAGTGCCATGCTGTGACATCAAGGCAAGTGGCCTTGCGAGTGCTGCCAGTAAGGGTCAAACACAACGGCCATGAGCTTGAGACTTGTGCTCTACTGGATGAAGGCAGTGACGTTTCGCTGTGCGACGAGGAGCTGGCTGAGCAGCTTGGGATCAGGGGTGAAAGGTTCAACTTCTCCCTGAATACAGTTGGAGGAACAAGCAAGTATCACGGCATGGAGATAAACCTAACAGTGAAGTCCATCCAAAATGATGAAGAGCTGGACCTACCGAGAGTGAGGACTGTCCAAACCTTGCCTATATCAAGTAGCGTCTTCCCAAATCAGAAGGATGTGAAGAAATGGAGACATCTGGATGGAATTGAGTTCCCCCAAACTGACGGAAGGCCAGTTCAAGTCCTAATCGGCGGAGATGTCCCTGAAGCCTTTTGGGTGATGGAAGAGAGGCGGGTTGGACGCAAGGAACCTTATGCGGTGCGATCACTCCTGGGATGGACGCTCGTTAGTCCTACATCACCCTCCTTCAAGCAGGGAGCAGGAAGTTTCAATATCAACCATGCCAAGCTGCAAGACGACCAACTGCAACAGCAAGTGCAGAGATTTTGGGAGGTAGATTTTGGCGGATCTATCATGGACAATAAGCGTGGTGACTCTGTGGAGGATCGGAGAGCGAGATCCACCATGGAGGAGTCTGCAAGGCTGATTGATGGGCACTACGAAATAGGTCTACCATGGCGAAGACGAAATCCTGACTTGCCAGACAACCGGGCACTTGCTGAAACGAGGCTGGGTTCCCTTAAGAAACGCCTGCAGAAAGATGATGAGTTGCGTCAGCAGTACAAGGAAACCATTGATGGTTATGTCCAAAGGGGATATGCAAGACCAGTGCCGGAAGAAGTACCAAATGTCGAGGTGGGAAGGAAATGGTATTTGCCACATCATCCTGTATTTCATCCCCAAAAGCCAGGAAAGATGAGAGTGGTATTTGACTGCGCAGCAAGATTCCGAGGTACATCACTCAATGATAATCTCCTACAGGGCCCAGACTTAACAAACAACCTGGTCGGTGTGCTGACTCGTTTCCGCCATGAGACTGTTGCATTAGTAGCAGACGTGGAGGCTATGTTCCACCAGGTACGAGTTCCCGAGAGAGACTGCGATGCCCTACGATTTCTGTGGTGGCAGAGTCATGACTTGTCCAAGGATCCGACTGACTTCCAGATGCTGGTTCATTTGTTTGGGGCAACATCCTCGCCCAGTTGTGCAGGATTCGCTCTGAGGAAAACGGCAGATGACTATGGTGCTGAATTTGGGGAGGCTGCCTCAGCAGTACGTGACAATTTCTACGTCGATGACCTTTTGGTGTCGGTGAGTTGTGCAGAAGCGGGTATCAACCTGGCTAGACAGCTCATTGATCTGCTCAGCAAAGGTGGATTTAGACTGAGGAAATGGATCAGCAATAACCGGGAGGTTCTGTCTGCTATTCCAGCAAGTGAGAGAGCCCCATCTGTGTTGGATCTGGATTTGGGAGACTTACCAATCGAGCGTACCCTTGGTATACATTGGAACGTACAGTCGGACACCTTTGCTTTCAAGACGGTTCTGAAGGAAAGGCCCACCACCCGGAGAGGCATCCTATCAATTGTCAGCTCACTATATGACCCACTGGGGTTCCTAGCGCCTTTCATCCTACCTGCCAAGATTTTGCTTCAGGATATCTGAAGCAAGAAGCTAGGTTGGGACGAAAAGGTTGAGGAGCGAGAATTGTTTAGATGGAAGCGCTGGTTGGATGACCTGCCAAGATTGGAGGCTCTCACCATCCCCAGGTGTTTGAGGCCAAGGGAGCTAGAAGATACTGCAATCAGTCAGCTGCACTTCTTTTCAGACGCCTCTGAACGTGGATATGCGGCCGTGGCTTACCTACGGACAGTGGATGGATCAGGAAGGATAGACTGTTCCTTCATCATTGGGAAGGCAAGGCTGTGTCCTAAGAGGTCGATATCCATACCGAGGTTGGAGCTTACGGCAGCTGTCCTATCAGTTCAGCTCAGCAAAATGGTTCAGGAAGAGCTGAGATTGCCCATCACCGACATTGTATTCTGGATCGATTCAACTTCGGTTCTGCAATACATAAGAAACGAGAGTAGGCGCTTCCGCACCTTTGTCGCAAATCGGGTTGCAAGGATCCAAGATGCCACCGATGAGTCACAGTGGCGATATGTCAACTCCGAATCCAACCCAGCAGATGAAGGATCCAGGGGCCTGAGCGCTGAAAGGATGATCAAAGATGGCCGCTGGTTAAAGGGGCCGCAGTTCCTGATGATGAATGAGGATCATTGGCCAATACCTCCAGTTGTCGTGCAGGGTACTGTACCAAACCCTGACATATTGCCGCTCAATGATGCTCTTGAGAGGGATCCTGAACTCAAGAGGGTGGTGACGCAGACAGCCTTAGTGCAAGAGAAGCTGAAGGTTGATGACTTCCTGACCAAGTACTCATCATGGAACCGATTGAAGAGAGGCGTTGCTTGGCTCTTGCGTTTCGTTCAGTATCTTCACATCCGCTGCAAGGGAATAGCAGATGACTCAAGCCTTAAACAAGGAGGTCTTTCCGTAGAAGAATGCCAGAGTGCAGAAAGGGGCATAATAAGGTACATACAGAGTCAAGCATTTCCCAAAGAGATAGATGCACTTCACTCGACGAAGCAGGAGACGGCCACCTGCGGAAAGAAGTCCAGGGGGCAACGACTCTCTCTTCACAAACTGAATCCTGTTTTGATGGATGGCATCTTGCGAGTAGGCGGTCGCCTTAGAAACGCACCAATTGATCAGGATATGAAACACCCGATTATTCTTCCCAGCAACCATAAGGTGACAGAGCTCATTATCATTCACCATCACTTGCTAGTAGGGCACTCCGGGGTTGGAATGACATGGTCGTCGCTGAGGGAGAAGTTCTGGGTCGTCAGAGGTGGCGCAACTGTTAGACGTGTCATTGGCAACTGCTTTGAGTGCAAGAAGAGGAATGCTCCATTGAGACAACAGTTCATGGGTGACTTACCGGCGGCTAGAGTAACGCCAGATAATCCTCCGTTCACATCGGTCGGTGTTGACTACTTCGGTCCCGTCTACGTGAAGCAAGGCCGGATTCACATCAATCGGTATGGGTGCATCTTCACATGTTTATCGATGCGGGCAGTCCACCTTGAAGTTGCTCACTCTTTGGATACCAATGCTTTTATCAACGCACTTCGACGATTTATCGCAAGAAGGGGCAAACCACAGATCATCATGAGTGATAACGGCACAAATTTCGTCGGGGGAGAGCGAGAGCTGCGGGAAAGTCTTGATGACCTGAATCAGCGGAGGGTTGGTGACTTTCTGCTGCAGCAGGGTATCAGGTGGCAATTCAATCCTCCAACAGCAAGCCATATGGGCGGTGTATGGGAGAGAATGATACGGTCTGTGCGCAAGATCTTGAGGTGTTTGTTGAAGGAGCAAGTTGTGTCTGATGAAGTTTTGCTTACCTTGATGGCAGAGGTCGAGGCAATTCTCAATGCCAGACCATTGACCCCACTGAGTTTTGATCCAGGTGACGACGAGCCTCTGACACCGAATCATTTGTTGCTGTTGCGGGCTAATCCCAGCTTACCCCCAGGTCTGTTTCAGAAGGAAGATGTATACAGTCGTCGACGTTGGCGTCAAGCTCAGTTTCTGGCCGACCAATTTTGGAATCGTTGGCTTCGAGAGTACTTACCTGTATTGCAACTTCGACAGAAGTGGACGCAGCGAGTACAGAATCTTCAAGTTGGAGATCTGGTCCTGGTGGCGGATGACAGGGTGTCTCGCGGTCATTGGCCTTTGGGAAGAGTCAGCCAAACCTACCCAGACCATGAAGGCAACGTCCGACAGGTGGAGGTCAAGACCGGGACCGGCTACTTCAGACGACCAATCACCAAGCTGTGTCTCGTGGAGAGTGCCGAGAACAAAGTTGTTATTGTTATTCAGACTTTAAGGGGACGTTAATTAAAGTTTGGGGAAAATGAAAATCTAGTAAGATAGTTCATTTGGGGCTGGAAATGTAACGTTGTCTTACCAGTTACATCAAATTTCATTCATGATTTGTATTGGGGGCGCCCTTTGTTTACATGTGCAGGCTTGCGCGTAGGTCAAGGGTCAAGCGCGACATGTACTGATTCGTTGTGAACGTAATTCCAGAAATTAAGGCTTAGGTTTCCCCGGACTCTACACAATCGGTATGATTTCTGTTTCAATTGTTATTAATCGTTAACTGTAAACTTTGAAGAAGATATTTGGGTTAATTTGGGGGGCATTTTGAAGTGTTTAATCGTTTAAATCTGTGGGATATTTGGGTCATAATTTGGGAAGAACTTGTACGTGAAATCACTGCATTGTTATGTGTATTGTTCAAGGGTCAGGTAAATCCCTTCGTTTTGGCTAGTTATTCGTTAGAGTTTTGTCATTTATTGCAGTGAACCGTTTACTGCCAGGCCATATCCACTCAGATCGCGGCGCACATCAGTTAAGCAATTATAGCCAGTGAATGAAGGATCAAGTAAAGTGTACACAAGTGCAGACAAATAAAAAGGACTGGAGCGAGTTCAAAAATAGAGTTTCGACAATTTATTTCCCATGTACTAAGCTACATCTGCATGTTGCGCAAGACAAAAGGCAATTTTGTGAAGAATTGTATTGCGGTTGTTACACACTAGTTGTTACCCTAACTGTATGCCTACTTCATTTACAAATGTATTTTTTCTTCTTATTTTGTTTTCAGAAATGAAGAGTGTCGTGACACCATCCAAGACATCAAGTTCCTTCTGGTCTGTTTGTGTGCAGCTCGTCCAGTGTGTCTGTCCCATTAACCCTGCCCTGTCCTCTCATTTCATTCCTTAGTGTGTTTAGTTCATTCCACATCCACTCCAACATTTCATCTCCTAAATATCATATGAATAAAAGTTGTTACATGTGAGCTGAAGTTGTTATATGTGAGCTGAAGTTGTTATATGGGAGCTGAAGTTGTTTTTTGTGAGCTAAACGTGTTCTGTGTTAAAGCTATTTTGTTCTAAAGTTACAAAGCTGAAGTTGATTGCCAATTCAAAGGCAAAGATGACATGCTGAAGTTGATTGCCAATTCTAAGGCAAAGATTACTTGCTGAAGTTGATTGCCAGATCAAAGGCAAAGATTACTTGCTGAAGTTGATTGCGAATTCAAAGACAAAGATTACTTGCTGAAGTTGATTGCCAATTCAAAGACAAAGATTACTTGCTGAAGTTGATTGCCAATTCAAAGGCAAAGATTACTTGCTGAAGTTGATTGCCAATTCAAAGGCAAAGATAACTTGCTGAAGTTGATTGCCAATTCAAAGGCAAAGATTACTTGCTATTGTTGATTGCCAATTCTAAGGCAAAGATTACTTGCTATTGTTGATTGCCAATTCTAAGGCAAAGATTACTTGCTGAAGTTGATTGCCAGATCAAAGGCAAAGATTACTAGCTGAAGTTGATTGCGAATTCAAAGGCAAAGATTACTTGCTGAAGTTGATTGCCAATTCTAAGGCAAAGATTACTTGCTGAAGTTGATTGCCAGATCAAAGGCAAAGATTACTTGCTGAAGTTGATTGCCAATTCTAAGGCAAAGATTACTTGCTGAAGTTGATTGCCAATTCAAAGGCAAAGATTACTTGCTGAAGTTGATTGCCAATTCAAAGGCAAAGATAACTTGCTGAAGTTGATTGCCAATTCTAAGGCAAAGATAACTTGCTGAAGTTGATTGCCAGATCAAAGGCAAAGATTACTTGCTGAAGTTGATTGCGAATTCAAAGGCAAAGATTACTTGCTGAAGTTGATTGCCAATTCAAAGGCAAAGATTACTTGCTGAAGTTGATTGCCAATTCAAAGGCAACGATTACTTTCTGAAGCTGATTGTCAATTCTGAGCTAAAGATTACAAAACTGAAGTTGATTGTCAATTTGTAGCCAAAGATGACAAAGTTGAAGTCAGTTAATGTTTTCAAGGTAAACTCAAGATTTATATAGCCTGACGTTGCGAACTTAGCAAGTTCTTCTTCAGAGGCTAAAACAGAAATGACAGAGGTACATACATTAACATGGGGGTGCACACAAACATGCAGGGCTGAAAGAAGAAACACAAAAGGAGAATTAGGTGTGAAAGGTGTGGAAAGATGCAGGGGAGGGTGGATGAGAGAACAAAGAAACAAAGGGATATGGCAAACCACAAGGGGTCTTGTGTAAACAGGGGAGGGCCCAGAAAGGGGAAGGATCAAAGGTCACAGGGAGTGGGAACGAGCAAAAGAGTGTGAGAGTGAAGGGATGATGTGGGGGGGGGGGACAGTATTGAGGTGGAAAGGGATGAAAGATGGGGAAAGATGGGTAAACACAAACAAGGAAGACCAGATGGATTATCTGTAACAGAAGACAATGGAGGAAGGAAAGGATTAATCATTTCCAAGTTGGATGTTGAGACCGTGTGGTTGAATAGTTCGAAGACGATTCATCCACACTTTCTCTCTGCTGAGGCTGTCACAATAAAACCACCCTTGTCTTGTATCTGTGACTATTTAATAGGTAGTGTGAATAAATCCTTTTTTTTAACCCTTGTACAACTACGCATGAGTGGATCAGAGCCCAAACCTAGCCAGCCGTGGTTGACTGATCAAGGTAACAATAAGAACACATTCCACACACAATACCTCTAGGAGCATCTTCCATGTACCCACACGCACACAATACACATCCCTGGTATCTCCACTCTGGTAAGGTAGATATTTTGCATATTCATGAGCTTTGGTTTAAATAAGAATGGGAATGAAGTTAAGTTTGAATGAGTGTGAGGAAATGAGATGGTAATTAGTGGAAGGTTGCTGGAATTTGAAGGGAAAGTGAGGTAGTTGTCTCCATGATTCTGAGCTGTGTACATGTACATGTATTTGCGCCATCACTCTGCTCTGCTGCAGCGATTTTTTTATACTTTAGGGTAATTCAGACCCTAAGATCTTTTTTCCAAGCAATCTGGCTTGTGACAATTGCAGTGCAGCCAACATTGAAGATTTCAGAGTGCTTTTCAAGCAAATTTGTGCTTGAATGTGTTTTTAACTTTGGCGTGAGGGAGACAAGTCAGCAACATCGACCAGCAACCGTAAGTTGAAGATTTAATTGTTTTCATGATTAATTAAAAGAAAAGAAAATATTGTTTTCCCTTCATTATATTTATGTTGTGAGATTCACCAGGATTAAGGATTGAATCTAGAATTGTGAATTGTTTGAGATAAAATTGATTGGCTATATATTATGAGGATTGTTGCATACCTGATGTATATATCAGAAGTTAATTTAATTGTGTTAATTTAAGAATGAGAAAAGTCTAAGTGACATGAGATCGAAGTAAAGAGTAGTATTCATTTTTAGGATTAGCTTTGAAGAACATTTGATTGGTGATTCGGCCTGTATTTTGTATAATGACTCCAAATTATTGTGAGAGTTTATTGAAATTATAAATTTACAGACGGCCTAATCTGATCCTACAATTGACGAGGATAGATGCACGAAGGCGACGCCACAGGCACTGAAGTCAAGCCAGAGGGCTGAAGGCAGCTTACAGCAGCAGCATTTCCAGTGTTTTTAACCGTGGAGTGGGTGGCGAGAACTACCAGGAAGAAGTCAGTTGTTTTTATGCCTGCATTTATGTAATTGTTTTTTAGATAGTATTGTAATAGTGTATTTTGAATTTGCAGTAACGTGAGGACGTGAAACGTCATCAAAAGTAGGATAAACTATTCAATTTAAATTTGTGACTTCGTTCACACAGACCCTGCGGGGAGTGGACTGTAACTTACAGAGAACCTAATAATTTGGTAGTATTTGCGGAGAGAAAACTGAAATTTGATTCCACTTATACAGTGAAGATTAAGGAGTTTTGTTTTCATATATTTTGGAGAAGTTTAACTTAATAGTTTGCAGAAGGTTGTGAATCTTGGGTAGATTCAACCGTTCGTAATAGTGTTATATTTATTTTGTTGGATATTTGACCAGTGTAATTAATCCCGTATTCATTCGTACTTTGGATGTAATTGTCCAACACAGCTGGGATATTTCTGTTTATATATTTGATTGCAATTTACAAGTGGTGCATTTGAGAGTAATTAACTCAAGCTTGAGGTATTGTTGTAAGTAGGAGTGATTTTTAAATTAATAAATTAATTCGGAGAACAGAATAATTTGTGGACATTGTTTTATTTACCATTGTCTTTGAACATTTTAAGAGGAAGGTTAACTGGATCTGACAGAGGCGAACTGAGTCCTTGCGATGGCCAAGAGATTCAATGCCCTGCAAAATCATATCAGAAATGGAGTGGTTAGGCAGGTTGAAGTGATGACCAACAGGGGTGTCTAGTTTCTTGGTGTTGACCGTTGACCGGTGGGCATAGAAACGCTTCTTGAGCGTATTCTTAGTCTCACCTACATACGGGAGTCAGACTCCTGGATATGAATCTGGCAGACAACACATCTGGAACTGCACTTGAAAGTACCATGCTGGGTGGGAGGGGATGCATCTAAGGAAGGGACTTCAGCTCGAACAATCAAGTCCCGTAGATTTCGAGGACGCCTGTAAGCCAATGTGGGGCCGTTGGGGATTGCGCGGGCAAGGCGATCTGAAGTATGGAGGATATGATGATTGTCATTAGTGATTTTGCGAAGGGGAGGGAGATTGGGGTGAAACGTGGTAACCAAGGGACTCATGGGTTTGGCCATGGCATCAGGGGCCTTTCCCGTGAGAGCTAGATTTCTGGGAATAGCTTTAGCTCTGGCAATGGCACGATGAACTTGGCGAGAGCTGTGACCCCTGGCCACCAAGTTGTTCCTCAGTATCTGTGTATGGCGGGAGAAATCGGAATCATTAGAACAAATTCTTCTGAATCTGAGTGCCTGGCTAAACGCTATGCCAGTTTTGCAGTGCCTGGGGTGACAGCTGGAGGAGTGGAGGTACTGGTGGGTGTCTGTGGGTTTGGAATACAGGTCAGTGGTTAGTGAGTTGCCTTGCTTGCGGACGGTGACATCCAGAAAGTGGGTTTGGTGAGCCGAGAACTCCGATGTGAATTTGATGGTTCTGTGGAAGGAATTGATGTGGTTAGTGAAGGTCAAGAGACTGTCCTCATCACTGGTCCAAATGAAAAAAACATCATCAATATATCTCCACCAGATCCAAGGGCGACATGGGGCCGAGGCAAGAATGCGTTCTTCGAGGTCGCCCATGAAGAGGCAAGCCATCGACGGGGCCATGCGAGTGCCCATTGCAGTGCCGTGTACCTGTAGATAGTGTTCACCAAGGAAGGAAAAATTGTTCTTCGTTAGTATAAGTCTCATGAGGGTGCCAACATCACTGATGGGAGGAGTCGTGTGTCCTGCCTTGGCCAGAGCTAAGGAGCAAGCACGAACACCCTCCTCATGTGGGATGTTGGTGTACAGAGATGAGACGTCGAAAGTCCCAATGATGGCTGTGCTGGGAATCTGGTCCTTGATTCCTTGAAGCTTGCGTAGGAAGTCTGGGGTGTCGTGAATGTATGACGAAATCTGTGGGACAAGGGGTTTGAGAAAACTGTCAATGAACAGGGAGATGCGTTCCGTGGGTGAGCCATTACCGGAGATGATGGGTCTACCGGGGTTGCCAGCCTTGTGAATCTTGGGTAGAAGGTAAAATCTGGCAGTCCTACAATCACAGGGAGAAAGAAATTTGTGAGCTTTCTTGGACAACTGGTCACGTGATCGCATATCGTCAAGTACCTGTTGTATATCTCGACAGAAAGTGCCTGTGGGGTCAGAGTCAAGGCGGGTATAGTTAGTGCGATTATCCAACTGGCGGTGGGCCTCATCAATGTACTGCTGACGATCCATGATGACCACAGCTGAACCTTTATCTGCTGGCTTGATGATGATGTCGGTGCGAGAGCGCAAGGAGTTGAGAGCCAGGCGCTCCTCTCTGGGGAGATTATCATGAGTCCTGTGGGGGAAGTTGTCCGGGTTAGTGACTTGGGAATTGATAACTTGAACGTATGTCTCTATGGCTGGCACACGATTCTTGGGGGGTACCCACGAACTCTTGACTCGAAAAGGCTCTGGCTCATACGGTTCACTGTCCAGGAAAAACTCACGCAGACGGATTCTACGGTAGTATTCCGTGAGATCTTGGCTGAGCTGAACCTGGTTCACAGAACGGGGAGCGGGACAAAAATTGAGACCCTTGGAGAGAAGTTTGTGCTCTGCGTCAGATATTGATGAGGAAGAAAGATTAACTACAGTGTTGACAGGGGGTTCTGGCGGTGGCGTGGTAGATGGGGACCTAGGACGTCTGAAACGTCTGTCTGCGTTGCTGTTGCTTGGCAAGCAAGCCACCAATCTTCTTGTTTCTCCTGTTGAGTAGGACAGAGTCAAGGTTAGACAAACCCCTTTCAATCTCATCATGGAAATTCCTGTACGTGGAGTCAGAACAACTGGATTTGAGTTGGGAGTCAAGGTGGGAAATATTCTGGTGGAGGTCCTCCCGTGTAAATTGACACTGCTGAGAGAGAATATTGATGAGTTTAATAGAGGTACCATGTATAACTTGATTCCATCTCCTTTGAAGGTGTGGTGGGAGGTTTCCTAAGCAGGGAGTGTGAGACAGTTGCAAACCTTAAGATTTATATATTTCAGGTCCATCCAGTCAGTAAGCAGTTTGCAGCAGTTTTACTTTTTTTCATTTTTTTCAGGATTTATATAAGGGGATGTGTGGAAATCAAATTTCCAACAAGAATCAAAGTGTGGACAAAATGCAATCCCATTGTGTATCATTGAGTTCATACAAGAACGTACAGGCATGCTTGAGTCTAATGCTGAACATGTGTGTGAATCAGAACCTGTGTATATGTTTGTTCCTGTGGCAGATGTTGAAAGACATGTGAATCGATGGAAGAAGTGGAGAATCAACAAAATGACCAAAAAGAGATTGAAACAGCAGAAAGCAGTGCGAAGGTTGAAGGCCAGTGGGCAAACATGCTGCAGTAGACATCAGGTATTGGATTGTGTTGTAGAGTATATCAAAGAGACAAAGAGGGTGTCAAAACCGAAGAGAAAGAAAATCAGAAGATGTGAACGAAGACAAGCATTGCATAGGTTGAGGAATGACAAGGTCATTGAACAGCGTATGAGTAAGGAAGAGAGGAGGAACCATGAGAAAACACAAAAGAGTATGCAGAGTCACACAAAAAGAAGTCTGTCTTATGTTATCAAGAAAATGAAAAATAAAAAGCGAAGCCAAAAAAGGAAGTCGATCAAACATAAGAATAAACAGGTCTTGTTGAAGAGAAGTAAATGTTCAGATGGACTAAATGGGAATATAGGAAGGAAACTTCACAAGAGATGTAGTGTTGAGAAGTCAGCAGTTACGGATGTGAATCGTTCTATAAACGAAGTACAAGTCAAGCAATGTTGGTTGTGTGATCAAGTGGCTAGTGAACACGATCAAGTTGTGAAGTGTGATACTTGTAAAATCTACTATCATGTCAATTGTATGGGATTTGCAAACATTCAGTCTGTGCTTGCAAGCAAATCCGTAGCATGGCTGTATCTAAAATGTGGGAGGTGTACCTACAATGACTCTTTGTTGTATGATCTTGGCATTCCGACAGATGAGAACAAATTTGAGATGCCATCATCTGAAGTGTACATGGAGGAAGCAGCTGTTGAGTCATGCACTGAATGTGCAAGAGCACATTGAAGTTTCAACTGTACATGGAAACGAAGGTGAGGAACAGGCAGGCAATGACAAAATTGAGCATGTACATGTAGATATCATGGACTGCAAACATGCATGTTTAAATACAGGTGAAAGATGTTGCATTGTTCAGCAGACTGGAGGTTATTTTTTTACGCAGCAAGAAAAGTAATGCTGAGATTAGTTGTAGTAGTGGAAAGGATAAGAATGAGGAAAATCAAGACAATGTACAGAGGACAAGAGGTCAGTCTGCAAGGAAAAGTAGAGATGATAATGGCAAAAGTAGAAGGAAAGAGCGAGTGTTCATACAGAATGAAAAGAACAGTGTTGAGAAAATTAAGTCCAAAAGAAAAGCTGGAGACAACATGGAAAATTTAGCACAAGATTGTGACAAGACAAAACTCAGATCCAAAATACATGTATGTACATGTAGTAAACACAGTTGCTCTTGTAAAGACAATCAACAGATTAATGAGACTAAAGAAATCAGATGTATTCAAGGTAGCTTCCATCAAGGTGATCTCAGATTTGCGGAACTGGCTGGAAGACAATGTGTTTGTATGAGCCTGTGTGGAATCCTCTATAGCCGAATTAAGCCGTTAAATATGTGGAGTTGCAAAGACGTGGATTTTGTGTTGAATACTGGGAATGAATTGTACAGTTGTTTGTCTCGGAGCTCTACAATGATGAATGGATATTTGTTAATCAGTGAGTTGCCTGATAAGATAGATGCATTTGGTAAATGTTTTCACATGAAGATTGCTGAATCTGTTTCTGACACTTTTGCAGAAGAAGGACATCTGACTGAGTTCAATATGATTCCGTTGAGTAGGGCAGTAGAGCAGACAATTCAGAAATACTGTGCCTGTTTCATTTGTTTCAAAGGCAACACATTTGCAGTAATTGCTAAAGATGGAATGAATTACATTTTTGATTCACATTCTAGAAATCAGCATGGACATCAGCACAGTGAAGGCAGA